CAACTCACAAAATTGAAAATATCGAATTCCAGAGACGAATATAAAACCCATCAAAACACAAAAAACAAGAAATCAACCTAAAATCAGAATAGTTAATAAACAGTTAACTTAATAGGAAGAAATGTTCACCCAAAGCACACAAAAGAAGCAAACCTAGAATATGATTAGAATTGACAATTGCTTTTGCTTTTTAATTTCAATAAAAAGAAATGGAAAAGTCCTTAAGATTTGGAAAAAGTAAATGAAGAGGTAGGAGCATTTTAGTTTTTGTAAAAAATCTTTACCTGCCCGTCTATTCTGTTTGATACATGCTATGTTACCCGGGTACTTTTATCATGAAGCTGTACTTATACCAGACAAATACCTGACACAATCCCGTACCTAAACTTGATGGATGGTCCTTTGAGATATGCATACATTTGTTCAGAGATGTACTTAACTATATGATTTATGTCTTAATTTAAACAATTGTCATACACTTCTTGGACATATATCATACAATTAACATAATTTTTGAAACTTGATACTCGTTAGCCATGGGTTGGGTTTGTTTTAGCCTATACCCAAGTTAAAAAACTTTGGTTTTATAGGGTCATTTAAGTGTCTAGTCCAATTTATAATAACATAATGAAAGAAACTTTAGAATGTGCTAAGAATTTCAATTCTAGTAACAAATGAATTGAAAAACAATAATGATTCTCATGTAAATTTTATATGTGTATGTGTGTGTAGCTGTATCCCCGTACCCCACATTTTACAAATTTGCCATGTCCCATACCCGCACCTGCATTGTAGCAGTACCGTACCTATGTCCATGCAACTTAGGATGCGTTGGATTACAAAAAAAGGAAGGGTGTCATGGGGTGTGAAGCACACACTTCAGTTATGCATCATGTGATGAGAATTAAGCTTCGAGGGACAAATCGTTTTTCTTTCACACTTCGAAGCCATTATCCCAAAATGCTTCGAAGCGAGCCTTGAAGTGACTTCAGAGAGCTTTTTCCAAACATTGCTTATTTCATAAGCCCTAAATTTACCCGAAGCAAGCTACTGTGTAACCTTCAATCGGATGTGAGGTACATATTCCAACAAGTTACACCTTATTTCCTTGCCAATCTATCCATACAATCTCTTTAATATCTTAGTCAGCCGAACGTGAGCCTGTAACTTTGTATACTTCTTTCATGAATTAGCAAGGCCAGCTAATATATCCCACCTATAAGTCTTTACACTTCCTTCACGGATCAGCAATGCGGGCTAAGTTTCAAGCATGTGTTCCTTCTGCATTGAAAATATGACTCAGATCACCTTATGAAGATAAACCAAGTTTTTTTATAGGTTCAATTACATATCAGCTTGATGGCCTAAGAACAATATCTGTCAGAGGTACGACACAAATCAGGATGTGCAACTAAATAGGCTTATTAATAGGCTTAGAATCCAATTTTACCAAGAGAGAAAACTCATAATGGAGTCTCAGATCAGTCTTAGTTAACCATAATGGAGTCTCAGATTAATCTTAATTAATCATAACAGTTACCTCCCTATTTGATGTGAGATTAATGTTTCACATTTTCTTTTAGCGAACTAATTAATTCACCCAAACCAAACTAATTTTCCATTTTAGCCAAATATGAGGCATACATTCAAAGTCTGTATTTTAATTTTCAATAGAAGTTCTATGTTCATCAGCATCCACCTTTTTCAATATGTTAGTTTTTTTTAATCATTTACTCAATTTGATTGTTTGACATTCTAGTTTTTTGGCAATGTCTCCAACTTTGCCTGAGATCACCATGTGCATCAGTTATGAATGCAGTTCTTCAGTAGCCAATTTTTTCTTCCCCTTTGCTCACATTTTTCAGAAAGAAACAAATGCTACTTCAGACCTTCAAGACTACTTGTTAAGGAAGTGTCCATCTTTGTTGAAAGAAATTAATCCAAAGCATATCTGCCTAGAACTGCGGGACCTTCAGAGTTAGTCCTTCAGCTGGCATCTTCTCCTTCATAAAAACTGTCTTCTTTTGTTCTTGCTGTATCAATATAATGTTCTACTTGACATGCCAATGACTAAAATTGATGAGGTCATTAACTTTGTGATGTCATACTTAACCATAATATCTTAACTTGTTAAAGTCCAACAAACAAATTAGCAAGCCCATCACGTTCTATTTATTTTCTGATTTGGGACTAAACTCGCACTTTAATAGCCAACAATATAATTTTTTTTAATAAATAAGTTCTAAATTGTTTCGATTCTAATGTTTCTCCTTGTATTTTTTGCTTTAGCAATTATCCTCTCTACTCTGATCAACTAATGTAATATCATTTGTAGACATGGCATAAGCCATGGATTTTCATCATAAATATTCTTTCTACACTTAACCATAGTTAGGATCTTAAGATTTGTAGGTTTTTTTTGGGTGAGAAAATTAAGCTTCGTAGTTAATGCAAAGATGTTTGGATTTAGTGCAAACCCTTGATATAATCTGCTCTTAGTAGAAAAATTTTATGTTTCTTCTCGGGCTGTTTTTGCAATGGTTAATACTCAATTGAAGCTATCTATTACCACATTGCCTGAAAGAGTTATTCATTAGACTAATTAAATCGTTCAACAGTCTTCATAGGCACCCTACCCAAATCTTTTCTAAATCTATGCAGATGGTATATCAGTCTAATCGTGTTCAGAGCTATTTATGGATTCTGCTATTCTAAATAGAATTCAGCTAACTGATATTGGCGCAAAATCTGCAGAAGTCTCTGCCTAAGTTTAGCAGTTAGCTTCCTTTGGTTTGGATATGCAGATATTGACAGATGCAGTACTTTGCTCCTAGAGAAATTGCGTGAAAGTTTTTCTTTTTCTTTGTAGCAAGTTGATTAGAATTAGCTTTTTCTGGATCGATATTTCCGTGGTTAATCATAGCTCCCAAGAAGTTCTATGCCTTGAGAAAGCTAATTGTGAAATAGGCGAATTTTTCTAGTTAGCCAAGCTTGAAGTTGGATCTACGCATTGTTATGCTATACTTGGAATCAAATTCTCTATTTACCTATACTGAACTGAATATCTTGTAGCAAGAACTCTTGTATTTGGTGTAGCACTACCAGATACAAATAAGACGTCACTTATTTGTTGTGGTTGGGAATGAGTTCAAACAGAAGTTTGTAATCCATTTTATGCATGTTGGGATAAATAGATAATCAAACCCAATCTAGAATTTCATTAGTCTTTTAATGATCTTGAATTCGTCAGTCATGAGTGTAGTCAGCCACTTTTTTGTGGTTGCATGGGTGTTTTATACCACATAGCACTTTCAAAAAAGTTTAGCAATGTCAGACTTCAGTCATAGACATTTCAAAGTGTTTGATCAAATCTAGAGTATCAGTTGCGGTTTACTAGACTAAATTGCATTGGGAGACAATCTTGATTGTTATTTCAAGTCTTTTGTAAGAGAGTTTATATCTAATATTTTTCTATTCTGGGTCTCGAAACCCTTGAATCCCGGCTACTTGTCCATCTCCACCATGGATGTCTCCTGCAATACTGCAATCAGTATCAAAGCTGCTTTCTTTTTCCTATCAAATTCCAGTCCCAGCTTTCGTATCCTTGAGCCAAGCTTCTGCATAGTCCCACCATAGTTGTTGAAAAAAAAGCAGGGGGCATGTCATGGGCCTGAACGTAAACGGGCTTTCGTTTTAGCCCTTTGGTGGCTTCCATTAAATAGTTGTTAACTCTCATCAGGCAAGCATGAACAGGAGGGAGCTGACACTCTTAAGCTACATGTTAGCAGCTCTGGTCCACAAGGTAGTAAAATAAGAATATGATAGAAGAGTAGTAATAACTATACACAAGAGTTATACTACTGTTGTATTGCTATGCATAAAAAAGTACGACCTTTTCTTGTAAATTGAAAAGAGAAATTATGGTTTTCTATGGACCCCACTTTTTCGTATCTAGTAGTACAAGAGTAGTACTACTCTTATAGTATAATTAGCATTTTCCAACAAAGATATTAGAGTCAAAAAAGAGTTGACTAATTAAGTACCTCCTTTTTCAGGCCAGCTTCATTCTTAAGCTAGAATACAATGATTGGTTGAAATATTTACATTTCCAAGAGCAGCCACGCAAACTTTTGTTATACCATGTAGAAATTGAGACAACTTTGTTTTAATATTTGGGCTGAAATGGGTGAGACAAATCCCACCCACCCATGGACTAAGCAAATGTCACTTTATAGTGAACGATCCTTTTGACAATTGTTCTCCCATGGACGTAAGCCTTGTGTTTAGCTGAACTACATAAATTTTCTTCTCATCCTAAGACTTCCTTTTGTTCTTATGGTTTGCCTTATTCATGAAAGCACTAGGGTTTTGGGCCTTCTATCCAAATAAGCTATATGATCCTACAAGAGTCTTGGTGGTTTTGATCTTGGTCTCAAGTTAATTCCATCTGTCCATACAATCATTCTCCTCCATCCTTCCTAAGACTTTGTGACATTTAGGAAATTCATTCATCTCTTGGTCCCATATATAAGCTTTGGCAAGCCAAGCCTGGGTAAATACCTAATCGCTCCATGTGGTCATTTATATAAATGAATACGTTGCACTTATATTTGCTAGTCTGGCAAAGTAAAGAATTGAGTGATATTAAGAAATTTATTCATCTCTGGTTATAGTATGCACGTTAAGGGTCAAAGTGAAACATATTATAACTTTGCAAATGTTAGTTTTATGGGTACAGAAATAAATGTACTCTCTAGAAAGTAGATGTTCGATAGACTAGAGAAAAAGTAGGTCTGAGACTCTCAGGTACAATCCGTAGCATGTATACTTAAGAAACTGACTGAAATAAATTTTCATTTTTCACTTTTTTCCAAATAATTCTACTAGAACTTCATTGATAGGACAGCTGTCTTAGATATTTAGTGTGCTTTCACATTCTGTTTTCTTAATAGCACAAAATTGTTAAAACAAGAAAACTTACAAAATGTTCTCAACATCAGGTTGACATAATTGGAGTAAGCTGCTACTCCTCGAAGGATCTATGGACTTGGAAGAACGAGGGCATTGTTCTACCCGGTGAAGAAACAAACATCACCCATGACCTTCACAAGTCCAACGTGCTCGAGAGACCTAAAGTACTCTACAACGATCTCACAGGCCAATACATCATGTGGATGCACATAGACGATGCCAACTATACCAAGGCATCTGTTGGCGTAGCCATCTCTAGTTCTCCCACAGGCCCCTTTCAATATCTCTACAGTAAACAACCCCATGGTTTCGAAAGCAGAGACATGACCATCTTCAAAGATGATGATGGAAAAGCCTACCTCATCTACTCCTCTGTAGACAACAGCGAGCTCCATGTGAGTCCATTGACTGATGATTATCTTGATGTCACAAGGGTCGTCAGAAGAATTCTTGTGGGTCAACATAGGGAAGCACCAACTCTCTTTAAGCATGAACGGACTTACTATATGATAACTTCTGGGTGTACTGGGTGGGCCCCAAATCAAGCACTCGCTCATGCTGCAGATAAAATCATGGGTCCATGGGAGACAATAGGGAATCCTTGTGTTGGAGGAAACAAGGTCTTTAGAATGACGACGTTCTTTGCTCAGAGTACATTTGTTCTTCCTCTGCCAGGGATTCCTGGCTTGTTTATTTTTATGGCGGATCGTTGGAATCCGCCGGAGCTTAGGGATTCGAGATATGTATGGCTTCCTCTTACAGTGGGTGGGTTGGCTGATGAGCCTTTGGAGTATAATTTTGGGTTTCCTTTGTGGTCTAGAGTGTCAATTTATTGGCATAAGAGGTGGAGGCTTCCTCAAGGGTGGAGAACATGGTAACATGGTAGTTATTGATATTGAAATTGTTTGTTGTGATAAAATTATTAGAGGGTTCAGTTTGTGTTCATAATGTGAATATG